TATCTGTATGTTAATATTATAGTCATAAAATTAATATTTAGCCAAGAAAGTAAAAAATTTTCCTTCTTGGGGATATTTGAAACAGGTACAAAGGAATTAAAGGCAAACCATTCTTTTAAGTTGTGGTATTTATTTTACTTATTGTCCGTATTTTCTGGGCCAGTGCTTATATTTATTGCTATCTATAAGTAATGTTGCTACTGATAACAGTTGGTGTATGTATGAATATGTAAAATTTTTGTGCTTCATTCCTATAGTGTTTTTATAAGTTTCTTGAAAGAACATTTACTATGTTTGCAGTAAATATTGTAATCTGATGATTAAATCAGCATGGTAAAACCTGAATGAGCCATGTTATTACTAAAAAGTACCAGTCTACTGAATACTTTGACATTTTATAAAATGTTTGACAAATGGGTTGCCCAACTCATTATCAGGTAAACACAGACTAGTAATATAAGAGGTTTTGCAATTCTTGAAATAGCTCTTATTATTTTAATCATTTAAGACTAATAGTTTAAGTGAAGACTTTGTTTGGTTTTTTATTAGACATACAACTCTGTGTGATTTTATTCAGCACCCTATGGTTACTGGGTGGTTACTGAGTTAGCATTTAGGGCCCAAGTCTTTTGAGCATAAAGACAGTCACACAATGCATATACTTTAAAAAAATACAACCATCAAATGTTGACTTGCTCAGAGCAATTTTCACTCCTTTTTTTACTAAAAGGTATAGAGTCTATTCACCTTTTGTAGATGTTAGGACAACTGTTTTATTGAATTTATCCAGGATAAGAAATATATAAATAGTGTATCATTTTCAAAGGAAGAAGTGGGTATCTTCTTCCCCCTTAATCCTCACCATAGGGTCACTCTAATAGAACTTCAAGTAGATTTGTTTTCAGAGGAGGTAGATATATCAAATTTCAGTGTTGCTTGATCACCCAGACCAACCACATACTCTGTGTACAAGTCTGCTGCTGCATTAGCTAGGTTATGATCCAGCTGTGTGGAGCATAGGACATTCAGTGTTAACTAAGCAAATTCACTTCGTCTTCAGAAAATTCTGTTCAAATGTTCCTTCTAATGTTGAGTCAATTTCTGACCTCCTAGGGAAGCAGTGTAATACAGTTAAATGGTCATGGGAGTCAGACAGGACTGATTCATATCTGAGGTCTAAGTGGGTAAATTTGGGCAAGTCATTTAAGCTCTTTAAGTCTCAGTTTTCTCATCTGTGAGATGGGGTTAATGGCGGCATATTCAAGAGCTCACTGAGAGAATTCAGTGACATAGCATACGTAAAATGCTGGAGATGGCACCTTGAATAATAGGCCCTCAGAATGGTTATTTTCTGCAAGTTTCTCCCATTGTGTTGAATAATTCTGTCCACCTGATACAGACAGAAACCTACATTTCTTTCCAGCTCAACTGTTGTATCTTCCCTGTCTCACTTTGTCTGTTCCTCAAATGACATTATCTGGTGATTTTCCTCACCAAAAAAAATGACACAGAAATTTCTTTCTCTTGAAGAGTGGGGCCTAGAAGAAACACAATGTTTCGGAGGTAGTCTGATCAGTATAAAATGAAGCAAGACCATCAACTAATATTAATAATGCATTTTAAGGTCAAAATAATGTCTTTGCTTTTTACCTTTGTGAGACAGCCATATCACATATTTGATCATAATAATGTGAAAATATCACCCATGGTTATCAGACATTTTTTTCCTGCTATTTTGTATACACAGAATAGAATTCTTTAGGGTAAATTCTGCTTTGTTTTAAGGGACTGTCAAAACCTTTTTTTTTTTTTTTTGCTTTTTTTTGTACCTGATTTTATCAAAGTCCTTATATTCCTTTTTTAAAATGGTATAGCCTTCATCTATACCATTTCTAAAGATGAGTTTTCTAAAGATGTAGTTTGAACTTTCAGTCATGCTCATCTTCTGTTTGCAAAAAGAAAAAGGTGGTCTGGCAATGGAAAATGTAATGGAAATGAAGTAAATGCATGCTGAAGATGCTGCTGACGGAGCTTCATTTGGTCTTGAATATTTTGAAATCTTTCAGTTATATTCTCACATCTCTTAGTAGACAGAGACACAGTTACTGGATTGAATGTAAAATTATCTGGATAATTCTTATTCCATGATGAATTAAAATTATTAACATTATTAAGCACTTAACATATAATAGTTTGTATATATAGATGAGTAATTCATATGTGTGTTTATTTTATCCATACTGGTTATCACTGACATTTATTTATACAGAGAGAGTTAGATGTATAAAAATTACTCTTACATTTTTACCAGAAAAACTATGCAATTTGAGGCATTGTCTCTTTGAAATTAAATGATCTTGGTTATTTTGTTTGAACATTTTTCTTTACATTATTATTATAATTGAACTCACTTTACCAGATAGTTTTCAGTGGGGCTACCAAAAAGCCCAAAAAAGTGCCTTATAGTTTTGAACTTAACCTACAAATTGGCAAAAAGAGACTTGTAAAACTCATATATGGGGTCTGCACAGTGTTAATGTTTGAAATTTATTTCCCCCCAAAGGTTCATAAACAGTATTGACAAATACATTGCACACTTCAATTTTGACATGGTCATAATGTAGGATGAGAGGTTGGAAAGGTTCAAATAAACATCTAAATTGAATTTGTTAGATATTTTGCAACCAGAGTCCTGTTAGCCACTAGCATCGATTTATTTTTACTGAGAATTTTCCAAAAAAACAATGTTTCTCTTCTAAAGAACTGAATTAAGAGAACTATTGCAAAATAAACCCCAAATTCTTCTTTTCTGCCATTAGTAGGTAGACTTCTCCATTTAGGAGTCATGTCTATTTTCAATCATTAAGTGTATATTTTATACTTCTAGATGCCTTTATGGAGCTCATTGGATTTAGGGCCATCGCTGATGTGCCCTTCATTGGCATTGTCTTTTACTGCCAAGTATTATCAGTTTGAGCTAGTCTGTTTTGTTTTTCATACACACCTCCTGTTTCAGGTTGAAAATAATGGGTATCCATTTTTGTAATTTATTTTATTTGTGAAGAAACGATTAACATCAGCTATGGCCAAACTCTGTATGGATTGGTAAAACAAGGTCATTTTCTTTACAGAGTTTACCTTGCAGTCAGTGAGATTATCGTGGGTACAGATTATGATACAAAGTCATAAATGCTGTAATTTTACTGTGTAACCAAGTGTGGTGGAAGTACAGTTGAAGAGAAAATAAGTTTCATGATTCAGCATGTAACATTCTTCCTAATTAGTAGTGCAAAACACAGAAATAATTGTTGAAAAGTGTGTAGGAAGAAAGAAATATGTCAAAACAATTAAGTCTTTTACAAAAGGTTTCAATATCAACTATTATTAGTCTTTAGAATTATGTATTTTATCAGATAATGAGGGCATATCTTTTTAGTTTGCCTAAGTGTGCCTTGTTTGAGCTACTGTTTAATTTTTTTCTTGCATAATTAATTTTTGTTAATGCTCAATATCTTTAATTTTAATTTTAGGGATGCCTGATTTCTTTGTATAGGAGCCAAGTCACAACGTATTCTTGAAAAGGCGTAATTGTGAGCAACACTCTTAAAAATAGATAGTTAGGTGTGATTTGGAACATTTAATTGGTTTGTTTGTTTACCCCAAAATTTATTGAACATTTACCATGTGGTAAATACTATATTAGGTGAAGAGCAGAAAGAGAGAGAGACTTTGCTCTCATGGAGTTCATTGTCTATTCATAAAATCCCTTGAGCATAAAAGGTTGTTGTGATTTTTTTTTCTGTTGAAATATTAACTAAGAAATATGTACCAAGCTTTCTTTTTTCTTTCTTTTTCTTTTTTGACAAAATTGTTCCTTGAAGTCAATGTTCTATAAAGGTTTTTGTACCTTTGGAATTCAAGTTTGGATAAATGAGGGTGTCTCGGTTGATAGCTACGTTGATAGTATCCATCTCACCTTGTGATTGCAAAAGTGAAGAAGTATATACTAAATGAAATTTAAAACATTGAAGTTATGTCTGCATGTGAGACCATGACAAAACTAGGTATAGAATTGTCAGTTGGAGGTTTTCTTGGTTACTTAGCTAACACTGTTCTGAGTTGAGTGTTGAGACAAACAATATGTCTGATTAGGTGTACTCCAAAATGTGTGGTGTGGGGTTGTTTTGTGATATATAGATCTGGTGTTATTTTCCTCTGTGTTCTAATTGTTTAATTAGAAATTGGGCCAATAGCAATTAGAGAACTGTTTTTCAAACCTTTTCCTTAAACAGCCTCAAATCCACCATAGGTGAAATTCACGTTGGTTGGAGAAGGTCTAGAATGTCTTCTGCTTACCTCCTCCAGCATTCTTCCCACTCACCCTTCCCAGCTCCCCAGACTCAGAGCAGCTCCCATTCGGTAACATGACTGGTGGGGAGGGACAGGGAGTGCACTGGCCTTCCTGAAAAATATTTGTTTTCTTATTATAAGAGAAAGGAAATAACTTTCCTTACAGCTTTGAATTTTATTCAACCAGTAGGCAAGTAAAAAATTAAAAACCATCTTATCACTGAATTGCTTCTGAGATCAAAGTAAAACAAGATCAGAATGTAACTGGCAAACTGTATTGCTACCATTGTAGACTTGCTGCCTTCTCTTTTTCAATAAGAAAATCATATTGTATTTATATCAAAGTAGATTGGATATTTTAGGAAGAAGATCCTCAGTCAGAGTTCAACAGTTATGTATAAACCCAACTTGAGGATTTTCTGCTTCACAATTAGTCTTAACTTCCTTGAAAATAGGTGGACCATGTGGTATATATACATATAAAGTTTGTAATTTAGCTCATTTATTTCATATTAAACTGTAATTTTTTAAAAAGTTACAATAGCAATTTGATGCCTATGGAACTTACATTTCTAATATTGTTGTAGATTCTAACATTGTACTTTTTTTCTTTTTCTCTTCCCTCCTTCCTCCCCATCTCCTATCAACAGTCCTGGTACCTGGGCTAGCTTGGTTCCATTCCAAGTATCAAACAGGACACCCATCCTACAGGCAAATGTCCAAAATTACGGTTTGAACATAATTGGAGAACCTTTCCTTCAAGCAGAAACGAGCAACTGAGGGAAAATGAAATACAACAATATTTTAAGAAATTTTTCAAAAATGGAAAGAGGAGGACTGGACAAAACAAAACAAACAAAAAGGGAGAATGGAAAGAAACTGAAGAAAGAAGATAATAGACCAGCAATTGCAGCACTCACAATCACTAATTCCCTTAAGGTTGAAACTGTAATGACATAAAAAGGGTCGATGATATTTCACTGATGGTAGATCGCAGCCCCTGCAAACGTAGCCTTTGTTACATGAAGTCCGCTGGGAAATAGATGTTCTGTCTCTATGACAATATATTTTAACTGACTTTCTAGATGCCTTAATATTTGCATGATAAGCTAGTTTTATTGGTTTAGTATTCTCGTTGTTTACGCATGGAATCACTCTTCCTGGTTATTTCACCAACGAAGGCTAGGAGGCGGCATCAGAGGTGCTGGGTGACAGAGCCATGAGCCAGCCATTTTATAAGCACTCTGATTTCTAAAAGTTAAAAAATATATATGAAATCTCTGTAGCCTTTAGTTATCAGTACAGATTTATTAAATTTGGCCCTTAACCCAGCCTTTTCCAGTGTTTAACCCAGTTTGAAATCTTAAAAAAAAAAAAAAAAGAAAAAAAAAAAAAAAAAAAAAAAAAAAAAAAAAACAGTTTGAACACAAAGGCTCTATGGAAGAAATGCCTCTATGTAGGTGAAGTGTTATCTCTGCATGCAACAGTAAAAATTAATATAATATTTTCCCCACAAAAAATTTAACAGAGGCAAGTGCAATTTATAAATTTATATCTAAAGGGGAATCATGATTATAAGTCCTTCAGCCCTTGGACTCTAAATTGAGGGGATTAAAAAAGGATTTAAAATAATTTTGAATGAATTTATTTTCCCCTCAGTTTTTGAGGGCATGAAACAAGCATTCAATTAAGACAAATCATATGCTTGAGGAAAAAAATTAATGAAAACATAGCACTTACGTTGGTTTAGCTGCAGCCTCCTTGGAGGCCAAATTTATTTATTTAAAATTACTGGTTGCATCAAAAGCCCATAGGGTGTACAAAAGGTTCTATAAAATCTGCGTTATAGAGACAGAGGCAGGCAAATCCATGTCACAAGGGTAAAGCTTACAGTTTACAAATTGGAAACGCCAGGGTGTAGGATATAAAAACGCACTCTTGAGAAAACAAATGTAATCAGGGTGCTGAAAACTTGCATGGTGCTTTCAGACATTAGCCTTGTTCAACAAATTTCTTGTATTGACAGATCTGTAGTGTGCATGGGCAGACACATTTTTGCCTCTATGTCTCTTAAAATTTTAATTAAAAATACTCTTTCCAGTAATCCTAATTTGCACGAAAATATAATGTCCACATTACGTGCCTTGCCTTGAAATCTAAAAAACAGAAAGAAAAAAAACACAAAAAAAACAAAAAAGTGACATCAGTACACTTGTTTTGCTGCATTTATTATCATTTTAAATCTTTACCATTTTTATGACAAAATATTTTGTACTCCAGACGAAGAAAAATGTGTTACATCATGGATTTTTTAGACAGTTATACCTTTATCTCACATTTATAAAGCATATCATGGCTGTGTATAGTTGCCGCTTAAAAATTGTAATCGACCAGCAATATTTTCAGTATTTTGGTGTTTTTTCTATTAACCTTTCATGTTTTTCATCTTCCAATTAATATTTGGGGGGAGGGGTTTCAAATTTATACGAATTATGCAATACCACGTTTTGCCTATGTAGGTAGTGCTTTTAGCTGTATTGGTTATTATAGGTAAGTACACAGATTTAAAAAAAATAATGTATGCTTTTTTGTTTGTTTGTTTGTTTGTTTGTTTGTTTTAATTGACCAAAGTGGGTACTGCTATTTTTGCAGTGTGATGAGGTCCTTTTGTGTACTGAGAGATGGACAGGGGATTTTTTTTAATATACATATATATATATTCTGGGGTGGGTGGGAGGATTTTTAACACTTTACAGTGTAGCTGTGAAGCAGTGCACCCTGAGATGGGCCTGGGCTGCAAAGCGACTGTTCTGCCTACTGTGACAAACTTCAACTTACACAGGTTCCCCTTCTCTAACTTCCCACCTGGGGTGCAAGCTGAACTCGTTTCTGGTTTTCATGACAATAGAAATAGTTAAGAACAAGCGAACACAACAAATTCTCCTGGAGGCAGACTTGGCTTAAAACAAACTGTCTTATCTTTTTTTTTTTTTTCTTTTTCGGTGGTGGAAATTTTTCTTGAGAGTTTCAGATCCACAGTGGAGAGTGAGCCTTTCTCATATTTGGTAAAGTTATTCATTGGAATATCCGCATAGCAGATGTTTCACACTTTGGGGGTTGAATATGCGAGTATACCTTCTCCTGCAAAACACATCATCCCAGCTGGAGGGATTGCTCCCACATTCTTTCCCCACTACATCTCCCCATTTCTTCATTTCATTAACAATAGTATGTGATTTACCTGTGACTCACCACTTCAAATGGATGGCCCTGCGCTGGAATTTTCTTTTTTCTATATCCAGAAGATTAAACAGACGGTTGCTATTATTAAATGTATTTGGACTTACAGATTAAAATCAAAGTTCACTTTTTAAGGAACAAAAAGATAAATCTTGTTAAGTTTTAATTTTATCTGCCCTTTTAAACTGAGAATCAGAGCAGAAGGGAAATAGAGGATTTTAAGAAATCAATGTTCCTGTGGATGATTAAGCCCATTAACGCTGGATGCTGATGGGATTTTTTTAAGGGATGGTACCTCAAATACATATTTGATTTAGTTTCCCCTGAGGCACAGAGGGTGAGTAGAGACTGGTTTTATTTTTATTTTTGCTCTCCCCTGCATCACCCCTGCCCCAAGTCCCACTGAGAGAATTCATTACTAGAAGGAAAATCTTCCAGAATTAGTGACACATGGGGGCTGTCTTGAGGCTCCCCCTGACCCCCTTTCTCCAGGCCGTGGTTTAATAAAATAAACTGTCTGTTGTTCTCCCAGCATATCATTTAATAATGAATACTTCGGAACAGTGCTTATGGTCCTGAGAATTGTATTTGATTAGCCCATTCATTCTGATAGCCCAGATGCTGAATAGCACAGCAGGATCCAAGCAGCGTAAGGTCAAAAGTAAGTCCAGTCATTTCTGTGATACTTGCCCAGTATCATCTCAGCCACGTTCTTCATGTATATTGGACCTATTAGGTGAACACATCAACCTCACAGGACACACAGTATTTTTTAAGAGCAGACTTGCTCTCTTTTTTGCCAGTGAATGAGCAGTTCTAGCTAAGTAAGTTACACACTGTGGGTATTCCTGCCTGCCTCTTGAATACAAAGGACTAGTTCAAGTGTTGCTATTTTTTTTAATCATTTTTTTCTCCTTTCCTTTTGAGATAAAACTATTAAAAATACTACTATATATATAGTCTCAAATCCATTTTTTGGCCTCCTCCTCTTCTACCAGGAAGTATATACTGACTAAGGGCCCCACGTTTGCAGGTCTTGCACGCCCCTCTCTTATCCAAAACTGCAGAGCTTCAGGATGGTGAAGGTCACCCAAGGACATCAGTAGGGGGTGGTGTTTCCAGTCCCCAGTTCTGTGGCACTGGTCAGCTTTTGTTGCGCGTTGCTTTGCAGCCCACCACTCACAGTGCCTCTGAAGTGTTTCCTCTGGAGTGACGTGAGCATTCGAGGCTTGTCTAAGGAAAATGAATAAATAAAAGGCAGTGAAGGAGACTGTACATAAAGACATGGCAAAAATCTTAATTATAGCAATATAGTTATGGGGTAATGTTCGGGTGGGCAGCTCCATTTAAAAAAAATATGTGAATGAATCTGTGAAGCTGCAAGTAGCAAGAAGAGCGAAGGGTCTTCTTAAAGAACCGCCTACCTTGTAGACAGTAATTTGTACACTGTATAGTTTTGTTAAGAATTTTTTTAAATTAAAATTCCCATGTTTGTAAAGCTAACTTTTTAACAATTATAATGGAACTATGTTGTTTCCATTTTTAAAGTAAACAGGAATATTCCTTGTTTAGAGACTGGACTTGAGTTAAAACTCTCCAGCCTCTTAAGTTATGTAATAAAAAAAGAAAAACATCTGTCCATGTTAGGAGTTATTTCACAGATTCCTGTGCTTGAAAAGCACAGGGTACTAATCCTTTAAAAAATGTAAATGGAGAAAAGTTATATTTTATGAAGGTTATTTTGTTGTATTTAGTATTGGAAAAGTTGGTTTTCAGAGCATTTCAGAATATTGGAAGCACCACTGTCTTTTTATTAGTATATATGGCCTTTGGCAAAAGTTTTTGTGATTGTTACATGATGGTATTTAAGGTTAAGTTTCACAGAACATTCAGGATAGGCAGAAAACGAAAACCGTGCTATGTCTCACATAACGTGTCCTCAGGGAGCAGAATCTTGGATTTGTGACTTGTAGCTTCATAAGGACTCAACAAAAGAGATTGCACAGGGACATCTTCAGCGGTGTGACACCAGAACATGTTCTTTACCTGGGTTTAAAATCTATGTACTGTGTGAAATGATGAAGGCTGCAGAAAGTTATCCCATATTCAGTGTACAGTATTCATTTTTAATGAAACAACTCGACAATATTGCTGGCAGATAGGCCCCAAGCATGACATTCAATATAGTTTACATGTTCCTGTCAAGGTCTTTTGTTAACATTAACCAGCTGCATGCTTCCTGGAGTTTGAAAAATTGGGTTTCTATAGAAAACTTTTCTTTTTTGAATGTGCAGGCTATTCAAGTTCAAAGGTAAAAGCTCAAAATTGAATGTTCTATTCAATGCTGAAGGAGCTGAAAGCTGACTTCATATTTTGCACTTTCTGCTAGTTCCCTTGTTTTTTCTAATTC